TCTTACCTTTTCTCTGCCTATGTGACTATCTTTCACTTTACATCTGTGAATCACTCTTCTTTTCCCCCCCTCTCGAATTTTTCTCACTTTGATGTTCCTTCCCCCCCCCCTCTGTGAAGTCCGAAGTCAGCTAAAGAGATAATGATGACTATCAATATGCCTCCCATTTGAAATAAATAAATTCAAAAGGTACAACAAACCATCCTTTTCATTTTAAGTCTTCATAAATCTTTGGAATTGCGTGACATTCGCATACTCTACGAAATGTAGAACAACGAAGCCAGGTTGAATTGCACCTAATAAATGGGCTTTTACTATTGGTTGGCCGATGATGAAACATAAAATTTAAGTTTTTTAATTGTGAAAAGCAAATTCTGAACATAGAGAGGTCAAAAAGATGAAGAGATTGCAATTTTTTACTAACTGGACATTTCATATCACAATTTTTACGCTTTTCCAACTGTGTTCAAATGCTTCATGTTCGGTGTTAGTTGGCAGAGCTCCGTGTGATGTAGCGACATTCTTCTAGGGAGCACAGGATAGAATTCAGTTGTGCTTTTCCTACTTTTGAAGGTGCTTACATGCGCTATGATTCCATAAAACCCTTTTTAATTCATAATCGTGGCGATAACAAACGACTGAAATCCCCTTGAATCATAAAAGAGAATGGCTTATATCTTGCTGATTCACACAGCCTAATGGCAATTACTCTGAGTAAACAATAGTTTAAGCCCTACGTCTATTGAATCTCCTTCAGTTTAATTGAATTTTGTAGTTTCCGGCCGCTTTGTCTTTTTACTGATGAGGTTGCAAAATTTATCCCGAATGCCTCGGATAATGGCAACGATTAAAGTTAAATTGATTAAGTGTTAATAGGTGTTCTTTTTAGGATTAACATAAAAGGAAATATTTTACTTAGTAAAGTCTGTTCACTGGCTGTCATTAAACACATTGGGTAATCAGAATTCACGGGTTCGGTACCGTTATTGTGCCTCCGATTAATACGATGACCGACAGGCAGGAAATAAATTGGAAAATAGAGATACAAGGTTCTCATCGAAGTGGCTTAAGAATATTTGCTCTCTATTCAAAGTCAGGCAACCATATTATTTAATGGCTTCTTAAGTATAATTGCGTGATTCATCTGCTAAAAGTGTAACGTTTTGAAGTCAGATCTGATACAAAAACTTTTGGAGGATATTCCTGAATGCTTTTTTTAATTTTATTCGCACGAAATGATGCAATAAAATTAACTGCCTCAAAATGGCATGTCGAAATGGAAACCCCTGAAACATATTAACCGAATAAATTTGAAATTAAAATTAAGAAAATAAATAAAAATTTCAATATCTATTGATTAAAAAATAAGAATGCTTACTACGTCCTCAAATCCAAATAGGTGAAATTATGTAATGAATAAATTTTTAATAAGTTTCTACCACCTCACAAAAATTATTCTTGTTGAATTTTTGCTTTAATTAAGTCAGTCAGAGCGATATCTCTGAGTGCAAAATGGTACACACCTCTAACAAAAACTAAGTTTTCGCATTCTTCACATGATTCACCCCACCCCCTTATTTCCATTCCTTCCTAAGAAAGTAGTACTGGCTAATCGTTTAGGCGCAAGTGATTTAGTTTCCAACCGATGAGTGGATTGCTGAAAACAATAGTGATTGAAATGAATAGACTTCGTTTGTCCCAGTAGTTGATTTTGGCTTTGACGAATGCTTTTGTGGCTGATGCCATTAGTCGATCTACTATCTATCAATTAAAAATTAAATTATTCTCCTACTTCATTCAGGCGTAAGATACCTTTAAAATTTATAATGAAGCTAACAGGAATAATGTCAAACATTCGCGAAACAATAAGCAGAGCATTTTGGTTTAGAAAGTGGGTTTTACCTTAAGTTAACCCTAGAAGTTTATATAAATTGGTGCAATTTTCAAGAATTTGTTCAGTTGGAAGTCCTTTTCTTCGTTCTCCATCTCTTCTTTTTCTTATAAGTGTGAGCGACCGGATACAAAAGGTCATTCCTTTTTGGTGTGTGATGCAGCTCTGCATTAGCGCCAATATAGGTGCGTACGTTACTCTTATAAAGATAGTGATAAATGCTGACGATGAAACATCATCATTGTTGGCCATTAAATAAAACTCAGATATAAGCGCTCCATTAAGTGCTTAGCTCTCTCTCTCTCACTCTCGCTCACTCTTGACCACGGCGAAGAAATAAACAGACTTCGAGCCAGACAGCATTTCATAACACAAAACCAATAAATTAATGTCAGTACATATATTCAGTCTAAATAACCAATGTAGTTGAATGGGGGGTGGGGGTGGGGGGGGGGGGGGGAGTCGGTATATGAAGACAGAGATGGATACCTAGACTTCGGCTCTCTAGTGCTTCGTTAATTGAAACAAATGGTATGAGATTAACGAGAGGTGATGACTGCGGTAAGCGCTCATTGTATCGTTTTTATGCATAACAATTACCGCGTGGTTCGCACACAGAAAAGTTTGAAAAACAACTCATTGGATGAGTAATTAAGCCTAATCACAAGTACTCCTAGATGGCATACGGGAACATCTTTTCCTATCACACTTTTCCACTTTTATCCCTTTTTCCGGACAAGTGCCAAATTTGTATCTAATTATAGCCCAGGAATGGATTGTGACGTTTGTATGCCGTATTTTTAAAAGTCAGATACTATAGCTTAACAATGAGATCGAATACCCAAAAGAAATTACAACTTCTGCATTCTTTATTTAAAATTAATAAGGATGCCGCCAATCACTAATTGTAAATCTGGAGTACCGATAACTTATTTCCAAAAAACCGGAAAAGCTCATTTTCCTTAACTATGATCCATTTCATAGAAGCAATTTCTCATAGTGCTGTGCTCATAAAATTGAATTGACCAATAATTATAATATGGAAGTCACCGATTTTACCGGCCAAATCTACTTGAAATATATGAAAATGAAACAAGTTGGCACGAAAAAAACATTTAATTAGACAAACTAATTATTAGCTCATTATAATACAAATACCTCAACTGATTACTCGTCTATTTGATAAGTCATCCGATTGAAATCAATCCCTTGTGAGAATTTAACGAAACAAAGAGATTGTTATTTTACGAAGATTTAGATAAGTTACTTGAATCGCAAGTGAAAAAATATCTGCATGTCCGTAACTAAGATCCAAATATAAATGGACTGGACTTAACGTGGTTTCAAAAGAAGTACGCTTATTAGTAAATTAAACCAATGGCTTTTGTTTCGAGAACAATAAAAACAGAACAATAAGCTCTGGACAACTTGAAAAAGATTTCACTCAGGAAATAAGAGGAAAGTCTTTCAATTCGGAATAGTGTGACATAAAGTATTTAGCAATAAAAAAGCTGTAAAATGCTTATAAACTTAAAACAGAGATCTAAGTTTGAAGACTCTTTTTTATTAAACTCGAACAACTTCCTTAAGTCTATCTTAGGCTCTTTAACTGCTCGTTGCACTTAGGGACTTTTCAGTGATTAATTAAGGCTTTTGGCAAGTCTTTGGTAATGGTACTAGAACAGATGATGGTGTTGATGGTGATGATAGGTTGATAAAATTTTATCCCCAAACCACACAGAGAATGGACACTAACAAAATCTGGGAGGATGGGAATTGTAGAGATTAATTCCTTTTGTGTTCCATTGTACTCAGAAATGCTCACTGATGAATGGAGAGTCAAAGTGAATAAACCTTAGTATTATCATTATTGTTATTGATATTATTATTACTAATGCTCCAGAGGGAAAGTAAAACACAAAAGCGAGCAAATTTCAGTGAGCTTTGGGAGTTAGTAAAGAACAGGTGCTCTGATATGTGAAAAAGGTTTTATTGAAACGAAACTAAGTGTGCCACCCAATGAATAAAACTAATGATATTACCAGCATGAAGTTAACCCAAGAGGCAATAATTATGGTACAGAAAATTGGACGAAGTAAATAATCTTTTATATATCACGTGAAAATCTTCACGAACTAGAGATTAATTATGCGATAATCATTTAAAATACTCCAAGCGTAGATAGAGGATTCGAAAAAATTCGTAAAGATCCACATAGTCTCCTTTTATGGGAGCTATTTGAGAAAACAAGCCCGTATATGTCTCGCGGGGATTATTGTAGACATTATATAAAAGTCATCAGATGATTCGTCTACAAACCAGATAAAGTTCGTTGTATTTGCCCAATTCTCTTAAAAGTTCACAGCGATTTGATTTTATTCTTCGTTAACTGCCAAAGAAGACATTTTTGGTGAAATCCGTATTAGAGAAGCTGAAAAATTACTATTGTAAAAAGCTGTCCTGAAATCAGAACACATTGTGATAATTCAATGGGATGATGAAGATATTTACAACGATTCTTAATATACTTAAGGTTGAAACTCTTCCGAAGTAACAATTGAAATGGGTTTTAAAAATACAAGCAAGATTTAAGCTCTTAGATATGAGTGTGGAACCCCCTAGCAAAATATACTCTTTAAGTTGAAATGATTTGAGAAATTTTAACAAATTGAAAGTTTCGTCTTTATAAAGCGGTAGCTATAGTAACTGTTCACTCTACAAGAGAACCCTAACAGATATCTTAAGCCGAGAAACTGTTAAAAATAAAAAATAATATCCTTATCATTTAGAAAGTAAAGGAATGTGAACCATAGTTGATAAAAAAAAGAGAAATTTAATTAAAAATCGGAGAAAAATCAAGTATTCAGACAATAATCAGTAGTCAACTACATATTTAACACGATTCATTCAATGACTACTTCGGTAGACGAAATGTGCCTTTCAGGTATGTAGTAACTATTAGGGTTTTAATGAGGTAGCTCTGCTTCTTAACTAAAACAAACTCTATTTAATTTACGAAAAAAATTACAGACAGCATATTCAAACTAAATATAATTAATAAAAGTGCGTTCCTTCTATACGCACAAAAGATCAAGGCAAAAATATACAATCAGGATTTACTTACTCTCAGCATATTGAAAGATCGTAAAGTCCCGTATGCAGATAGAAGCCGAAACAGATTTTGCTCAGACAATGTTGATGGAATTCCTGTGAGGAAAATTGCATTGGCATTGAGATGACTGATTGAATGAGTGGAAGGATTAGATCCAGGCGGGAAATAGTCCCTAGGTCGACGTATTCGAAGAGTACTTCCAAGGCAGTTGATACCGTCCAGACTCAGTGCCGCTGTGGTTTCCTCCACAGATCTAAGTTCAATAAAAGCAAAGTGCCTTTCAGAGTTGACTTGGGCACAGACCACGGGGTCGCCAACAGACTGGCACAAGCCTCGGGCTTGAAGTTCCGTATTGAAAAATGCAACCATATTTTCTGGAGTAATACCAAGAGGGATGCTCCCGATGTATAAACGCCGCGCTTGTCTTGTGGTGTTTGTGAAATTTGGTGGAGGACTCGTTTGATTGCAGGTACTTCCGACCAGACCACGAGTTGCTGAACCGAATAAATCCGAAAGGGCATTATTTGAACCAGCTGAATTGAGTAGAAATGATACGATTCCATTAAAAGCAGGATTGGAAGAAATAAGTTTTGGTAGACCGTTTTGGAGTGAAAAAGTATCTTTACTTAATTCAGGGACACTGATTTGAGTCGGTGGTTCAAAACTTGGTTGTGTCGGATGTTGAAATATTGAATTTGTCTCATTTACATCGTTATCTGATCGACAATTTGGGAGATCAGTAAGATGGGAAGCTGAACTAGTGCGTCGACGATGTTGTGATCGTCGTGATGGAGATCTACTTCGGCTCGAACTTTGGTAAGAAGAGGAATAGGAGGATGACTCTGTGGCATAGTGGCGTCTACGCCTCCTGCGATGCTGCCGTCGACTACTAGAATGATAATGTGACCTTGATCTTGAACGACGGGATCGATGGTGCCTCCGACGATTGCGAGGTTTCCGTGATTCCTTCCGATCAGATGACTTTGAACGCAGTCGTCCCGCCTTGGAGCATGTGTGAGTCCGACGCCTAGAATGATGACTATTTCGGGACTCAGTTTGGCAAATCTGACTGCCACAAATGTCTTCAGAACTCTCTTTGGATTCAATAATGACTTTTATACTTGGTTCTTTGGTTTGATTTTCTGTTGCAATTTTTGTTATTTTATGTGGAGAAGACGTTGTAGATGAAACTGAGGCTTCCTGCATAATTTATACCAACTATTTCCCCTTGCTGTTTTATTGCATTAAATCAAAAATTGAGTGGGGGGAAATAATTAGGCATCTTATTGATGAAAAAAATTATTAAATCAATGCAAACTAGACACAGAGCTGCAAGTCACAACGTAACCCAAAGGGAGCGAGTTTTCGCCTAAGCTATGCATAAAAATAAAACAAAATCCAAGGTTATATTTATTGAACATTATTAAACATTAAGTATTGATATATCATGCATGAAACATTTACTTGATGAAACAAAAAAATATATATTAATTCATCGCCTTCAAAAAATTAGTTTTTAAGATTTAGGCTTAAAGCATTTGAATAAGCCAGAAATTTTAAATAAAAAGACTCTTCAGTAGCTTAGTCTCCATTTATTGCCTTCTGTCATACAAAATTATTGCAAATTTGGGATGGCTTACATAAAACATTAAGTTACCTTTAAGTCGCATTGAAGACCATTCCATTTGAGTCACTAATATCTAGAATAACTATCTAATTCATACTAGTACAAAGGTTTTACGGCTGTTTTTAAAAGGATTGAGAATGAGCTTTCAGGTTGAACATAATGCGGATATGGAGGGAGAAGAGGTAATAGTGATGGTTGCAAAATATTTGAAATGCATGATTCAAATATATTTTAAACAATTTTTGTATATACGGAGAGCTGTAAATTAACGCCGATCAGAAATCGAGTTGGGAGATCTGTGATTCGTAATTACATGATATCAGCAGTAAAAATCAGTTAATGACAAAAGATAACATAGCAATATGCTATTTATATGTCGTTACCAAATTCTTTCATGTGGATTTGCATCAAGTAAAGAATAATTCGAATTTAATGCCGTTATTAATTTATCAGAATTAACTTTTTCAAAACTTGATAGATAAAACGAAAATTTATTTAGATTTTCGAACTATCGCAAATTTTTCATTACCAAGTAGGGATACGACGTCTTGTTTCTAAAGAAGACATTTCATTTAAACCAGGAATATATAACTCATTTTGTCAAGTTTTGTAATTTGAATACCATTCTAATTGTGGAATATGATACTGGATCAATTTGCGGGAAATTCATTCGTTCTATGACAAAATTTATCTTTGGAAAATTATGCAATTATGAAATGGTAAATATTAAACATGCAATAAGAAAAACGAATTAAATACTTCAATGTTACAAATTCGAAATTTGGACAAATTCATCTTTAGACAATAGTTACGCAGAAGTATATTCATTAATGATTTCTAACTATATAACTGAAACTTCTTGATCATTTTCATTAAACCTAACGCAATTCAATATTATTACAATAACTTTCCAAAGAACGCTGAATAATAAAATAATTGTGTTCTAAAATTCAGTTAACTAACTTTATCACTAGTCAATTATTTTCTTTATCAACAGATTTGGAGGTCATAATATCCTATTTGTGTAATAATTACATCATTACTGACCAATAAGGTAAAGATTGAAAAACCCCGCTCTATATAAACAAACATTTTCCGTTTTCAGATATTGAGGTGCAGAATTATGGGTTTCCAAGCTGGACGTCTTCAAAATAGTAAGTTTAAGCGGGTTCATTTCCTAGCATTTTGTAAATATCTAAATTTATATTTAGCTATTCTTTACTCTGTGGATCAAATCAATATATACTTTTTCACTTTAAATGCAATATTGATTCAACCTTGTAGTTATGTTTATTCTTAATGCCATTCGACCATTAAGAACTACTGTTTATGAGATAAATTAATTTTTTCCGCTTGGAAAATTTACTTGCAGAAAAGAAGGCACCGTTAAGCAAGTCGAGCCGATGTGGACTTGTGTTCCCAGTTGGACGCGTACATCGCCTTCTGAAAAAATCTAAATTTGCCAGAACATCACGAATCTCTGTATCCGCTGCGATCTATATGACTTCTGTCCTGGAATACCTCACTAGTTCGTCTCTTTTGTCGCGTTAATACTTCCTATCTGCGTTTTCTAGATACAAGTAGGATAACTTGTTTCAAAAATTGCCCATCTTATGGGCACATATCAGAGTAGTTTAACTAAAAGAAGTATAAAATCGTTATTTATAGGAAGGTTTTGATATAACATATATTTATTTATTAAAAATGGCATTTCTTCTGATAGTTATCATTAGTGGACTTCAGGCTTTACAGTGGAGAAGGAATATCAGTGAAAAAAATTCGAGAGGTGCGGGGGGGAAGTGTTTCAAAGGTGTAGATGAGACAGACACAAAGGTAGGAAAAAGGTGAGGTGAGTACTGTGGAAGTGGTCGAATTTGACATACTGTGAGGTGATGGTAGTTTGAAGTGAGAAGTCAACTGCCTGTTAAGACGTATTTGTCGTATGAGTAAGTCTATCACACATTCCAGGTTTCGAAATGGTATTTAATTCATTGCTTCATAGAAATTCGGAATTGTCACCTTTCAAGGGAGACATTTTTATCCTAATTATTAGCCTTTCTAGTTCAATTAATATAAACATCATAACAGTCCTACACTGTCCATCGGACCATTGTTGCTTTGACGTGAGGGCATCATATTCTGTCACTTGGATTTGTATGAACATGAGCTATTAAACCATCGCATGAAGTTATTCAGTCTGCTTGTTCTAGCACGTCTGTTATCCCGTATGCCACGTTAATCTTAATTAAATTTCATATTGTTCCATCTTAGTCTATGCGGCTTCTTAATTTGCTTTATTTAGCAAATGAGCAGCTCGCATGAACCGTCTTTATTTCTTTTTGTGATGGGCGATAAGCATCCTCCTAACTAAAACGTATGAGAAACCTCCCCAATTTTTTAATCGATATTGTTACGATCACTGGCTTATAATACCTCCACCGAGATTTTGCATAATCTTATAATCTCTTGGGTGAGCACTCTGTTACCATGTTTCGACAAGCATAAGCCTAGATTCTGAATATTTTAATACTCGCACATTGAATCTCAGTTGGGTAACAATTGGCTTAAAATGAATTAGTATTTATTGCAGTGTATTCGTGTTCGATTCTGGACAACCCCATTTCTAACAAGCAAACAATCTCTTTTCTAATACAAACGTGCTAAACGATCATGTTTTACCAACCAGCAACATGCGTATAACTAATTCCTACCTATTATCCATTGGATTTAGGCGAAGTTGCTGACTTAGCGGGAAGAGTTATCAAAAGCTGCAAGCTGAAAACTGTTACTCCTCGATCAATAATGTTAGCCGTTCATCAAGATGACGAACTCTTTAAGGTATGCCAGGAGAAATACTTAAAACCCTTTCACAATAATTAAATAACCAGCTATTTTCATTTAGATGATGTCAAAAGTAACATTTCCCTTTAGTGGGGTTATGCCTTCAATACTACCAAGTCTCCTACCTAAAAAATCGTCCGGACCCACGACACCAACAGTCAAGCGAATTGTAAGTCTAACACACCATCTGCTAAATAAACATGCCAACTGAAATTTAGTCTTGTTGTACTGCCGTCTAGAAGCCAAAAAACATACATACCATAAATATGCCTACGGGACAATCTCTAAAGATCGTCCAGACAGATATAGTCGAACTATATGTCGATGCAGTAGTCAATCCAACAAACAGAACTCTCTATATGGGTGGCATGGTAGGTACTCGCCTAATGGAAGTCGGTGGTGCGGAATTCGCGAAAATAATGCAAGATGCCAGAACCGAAATCAGTCACCTTCAAAAAAATGATTGTAAGTCCAAATAACACAAAATAAGACGTCTTCTGACGGTTTCTAATTGGCAAATATATACGTTTCAGGCTTTATTACGAAAGGCTCGGGTACAAAAGCGAAACATATCATACACACTAACGGTCCCGTGTGGGATGGAAATCGTAGTGACGAATGCGTATCTGATTTACGAGAGACGGTTGACAAATGCCTTGCAGCAGCTGATAACAAAGGTTTCACATCTATCGCGTTGCCTTCCATAGGCAGTGGAAAGTGGGTATAAGGAAATTTAAATTCCCGATAATTATAATCGGTCTAATCACTATATTCTATACTTCTCTAGGGCAAACTTCCCCAAGGCTCTAGCGGCTGAGGCAATCGTTCAGACGATCAAAACCCACTTGATTAGAAATAAAACTTCGCTAAAAGACGTCCGCTTTGTACTCTTTGACAAGGGATCTATCGACGCGTACATATACGAACTCAATCGTACAACATAATTATTCCCACCGAACTACTTTGCGAAATTCGTGTTAATTTTAACTTAGCTAACGCTGCTTTTAAATAAAACTGCATGAATGCGCAATTAGTACTCAAGTGCGATACAAAACACTAATAACCTCCAATCTGTTTTAACTAGGATAAAAGCTCCCCGTTTCATTGAAAGCCAATGAAAGCAAAAGGCGACTGAACGAATTAAGATTTATTACGAAAGTGTTTTTCGCAGAGATTAAACGACAGATCAGACCTACCTTTTGAATGAGTATATTACGAGTGAATAGAAATCCTTCAAATGGAGGACTAATAATCTAACATCAGAACTTACGTATTCTGTCGGGCAAAATCCTGTTAAAATGATTATACTAACCTTAGGCACACAGAAGTCAATCGATACAAAAAGGGGACAATGTCATTAATATAGTGAACTACTTATATACAGACCTACGTGTCACAATTATTAACATACCGGATGGACAAACACCAGACGATAAAACAGAAGCCTTGAGCCAATCCTTCACCATAAAAAAAGAAAGCAGAGTTGAACAAAAACCTACGTTATAATAAACGCACGCAGCTATACAAAAACAGTATGATGTAATGACAATTCACAAAATATATGCGCATTTTTTCGACTAACACGATTGCCTGTTAGAAGCGTACATTCGGTAAACCCATCCAAGGTGTTTGAGGATATCCTGGAGCACCGTAAGCTAAAAAACAGGACGTAACAACTAGAAATAGAACTTACGTGGTTGCTGAACTGGCACTAAAGGGATACCAGTAGTAGTAGCGGGAACGCCCCGTGGTAATTGCATATAGGGGGGAATAAATCCAGGATTTTGTAAAGCTGGTTGAAGTGGCTGGGGTTGTAATGCAGTTTTAAGTATCTCTTGATATTTTGGCCTAGCAGCCATTAGTTCTTCCTACAATTTATTTTATACATTAGCATAAGTCAAAGGGAATAACAAACCAATGATAGGTCCTCCTCAGGATATATCAAGAGGACTTCAATTCCATTTACACCAGAAACTGGTCTGACAACTTTGGGAGCTGAATTTTTAGCAATTTCGGCCTCTGAATAGGCTGGAAAAGTAGGTGCTTCGGTTGTGGAGACCTCCGGAATTGACGTAGATTCTGTGTTTGGTGGAGGAGGTGGCGGTGGGGGTGCAGGAATAACCCCAGAGGGTATAAATGGTTGTACACTAAATATTTAAATAAGCAGGAAGTTCTAATTTACCTTCCGGGAACAGCAGGCGTAACATAGGGCATCATTCCAGCGACAGGTGGAACGAAGGGGAAGGGTATTGGTGGAGGAGGCGGTGGTGCGAAAGATGTTGACGGCTCCTCTGTACGCACCATCTTTTCTGGAGGTTCATCTTCTCCAGTCGTAGAGTCGAGACCAAGTTTCTGTCGTTCATGTTCGAGTAGATCCGCCTCAGGTATACCAGCCATACCATAAATGTCTATAACCATACTTGATCTGTGAGGAAGAGCATTTGGAATTTTGTCTATTTTTTCTTTGTGAACCTACAAAGGTCAATATTAAACAAGGAAAACTTGCCGCATTACAATGAATTGATAGGCCAGGTCCAGTGAAAAGCTTACGATGGCAAAATGGGCACTTGAAGTGCTTGGCCTTTTGATGATGAATTAGAATTTTCTCGTCTTCGAAATCTCGATTGCAATACCAGCACCAGGGCTTGATGAGCTTCCTCTTTTTACGACCCATAAGTGGCAAATGGCGAATTCAGGCTTCGTCGGTTACTGGACTAAAACAAGGTATACTAGAAAGTGATAGGTAGTAATTATTGTATATGAAATATAAATAATAAGACATGAATAATGCGTAGTTCAGAGTCTTGCCTTTTATTATATTGACTGTTATCAATGATTAGCATATTACTTAGCCTAATAAATGAGATCACGTTTTCAGTATTTTAGTATAAATTAAAATTATCTACATTTATAAGTACTGCAACAACCTTCTTTATTTTTTTAAAATTATTGTTAGATGATTCTTCTATGTCAAAATATATCAGGCTATTTTTTCATTTGTCGTCTAATAAACCCAATTTACTTTTATATAATCTTAAAATATACTAACATCATGAAATAATTTTAAAGTTTCAAAAGTTCTGCCTTAAAGTAATTTTAAGATTTAGAGCAAATTTCACTACTGATTTCTATTTAAAATTGATAGCGATGTAGCTTTGAAAAATTCGCCGAAATTTTTGGATACTTATCATGCATTTATGACCTTTCGACAGCTTATTAATACCCTATGTCGTATCAACATCCGCACATCATTAGGAAATTTAGACACATAAAATTCGTCAGAACAAATATTTCCATTTTTGTCCTACGGTTTTAATCGGACTCTAGTTCTTGTTTATTACTTACAAACTCTATACTTATACTTCAAAGGATTAATTATTACACCCTTTATCTGCTTCGATAAACTATTACCAAAATGAAATAGGAACTTTAGCAATCTTTTCATTACCACCAAATCCACACTTTACCAAAGCTTAATTTAATCTATGCAGTTTAAGATCCTAACTTCACCTCCTACTGACCGACGTTATATATTATATCTTTTCCCTCCGAATTTGTAGTCTTCTTGAAACACTTTTTGTTTCTTATTCCTTAAATGTAATGCTTCTCCTAAGATATTTCATCCTTTAGATTTTTGTGGCTCTATATCTGACGGTTTTATATTTATCCTGTCTCGGGTGGCTGAATTAAGAGAGCAATTTAAAATGTTATTAACGTAAATATTTAAGCAAAATGAGCAAAACGGTTAAACAATAGTTTAGGGGTTAAAGAACTGAGATAAATTAAGGAATTTTATCCTTTCTTTCTTTGGGTTGTTTAGAAAAAATTCAGAGCAACTGAGTTTCCCATTTACTCTATTTCCAAAAAATCTTCATGTTTGGTCCGTCAAAAATTCAATTTTCATGATTTCTCTTGATTTGGTAAAAGTCTTGTTTTGCGGTCAATAGAACGTGAGTGTCTGCAAGATGGCATATATTCTTCACAATTGGAATAACCAATTCGATAATGACCTTTCAATTCGTACGAACTTACAAATATTAACGATGTTGTACTCCAACACAGGTGATTTAAAATTTAATTTAGTTAGCTTGGAGATAGATTCCATGTTATTGCTCGGTAGCAAAATTTTAACCAAAAATTTCGTTTAGTCTACATCGAATTGTCTTTGTAATTCGTGAAAACCTATTAAAATTTTCTTTCCTATTAGTTATGAACTCAATAATACACCATCGCACTTTCATGTGGGTACTTTTATTAAAGACTTTCTTTTAGAACGAGGTTATGAATGCCTTATACCATTATGCACCCGCTTTATAACGTACGATATATATTGGAAAATACCAAGGTATCTTTGACTCAGTAAGCACAGTTATTATAAAGAACTGCTGTTAATCAAAACCTGGACCTTCAAAATGGTTTACTGGTGATGAGATCTCGATTATAATGTCCACAGACGATTCAGCTGTGTATATGCTTCTTCAAACATGAATATCTAAACAGATAACAATTATCACGCCAAATGCCGATGACAAGGTAGAACTGGCATCTAAGTTAATTGTCAATTAAGTGTGGCTAAATTCCCAGTCATCTCTCCACTTGTCCAGCGACATAAGTAGCACAAATTATTCCTCCCCTGTAGCAAACGTTTTTTACTAAACTCGGTCCAAGTAACGACCTCATTAGAAGCCCGATAATTTACTTCAATTTTGACATAGTTATTTCGGTCGTTTTGTATTATGAAATTAAAAGGATTAACTTATACTGAGCTAAATTTCTAACATAATTTAAGTTTCGATTGTTGTGTCGAAAAAAGCAAAGGATATAATTTCACTTTATGTTTTATAAAAACTATTACTGCTAATTAATGAATACCCCATAGAACTGCATCCCAGTCTAATTCTCTCTGAAGTCGAGTACCACTAAGGAGAGTTATGTCAAAATATATGTTGTTATTTAAATCTTGGCCTTCCTTGCAATAAATACTAGGAAACTGAAAGTGGAAGCAAAAGGTTTGATATTGCATAAATATGGCTTTAAAATCATATTTAGCAGATACATAGGGTAATTATAGCTTAAAATACATTATAGCTTACCATAAGGATTTCTCTAGAAGCGTATAAATGCACAAATAGGAAATGGGCGTCGTTAATGCAGTATTTAAGAACAGAGGCAATTAAACAGGCTCTTTAATTAACAAGTATTCCTTTAATAAAGATGGAACAATCATCATATGCGTTACTAAAAGCAACGAAAAGTATTCGAATATCAAAGGCATTTAATTTCAATACATTTCATTCCAGCATTCAAAATAACTTTAACCAAAACAAAATTCTTCAAAATAGGAAATGATGATAAAAATCTATCATTTCAAATATATAAGTTTGAATATTTATCTGTATACGTAATATTTAATATGCAGCTAATAATTGGTTTTTGTTTTATGGTTCAAATGAAGATAGACCTTCGATGGCCCACTTTTTGAGCGGAGGCGTGTTCTGAATGGAGTGCTCTGATATTCATGAGTTCGATATTTCAGAGGAGACAGTTAAAAAGCTTGAGGCAACTGGCATAACGAAGCTTTATAAAGTTCAAGCTGAAACATATGAACATATTAAAAATGGCCAAGATGTTATAACATTAGCCAGTATGCAGCACATTTTTATTTTGTTTACCATTTAGAAACCGGATCTGGCAAGACCTTGGCTTTTTCAATCCCATTGATTGAGTTGATGAAAGCGGAATCCATTCGCTTTGATAGATTTCGTACTCCCATGGCTATTATTCTTGCTCCAACTCGAGAGCTCGTTGTTCAAACCACTAAGGTTCTTCAGTCCATTGCCCCAGATGGAATGTCCGTAATAGCCTTATATGGAGGTGTAGCCTACGATCAACAAGGTATGTAGTACTAATCAGTTCTTATGCATTTTCTTCTAGTTCGGGCGCTTAGATCTGGTGTTGACATTGTTGTTGGTGCACCTGGCCGCGTTATTGATCTGATGGAGAGTGGAAAATTAAAACTAACCTCTATTAAATTTGTTATTCTTGATGAGGTGGACAGGATGTTAGACATGGGCTTCAGTGCTGACGTCGAAAAGATTCTCTCATCGGTTTATGATTCAGAGACCAAACCCCAAACTCTCCTGTTTTCAGCTACATTGCCGAACTGGGTTTCAAATATCTGCAAACGTTATGTATCCAAGGATTGTCATAAAATTTCCCTTGTAAATAAAGAGGAGGCACGTACAGCCGACCGAGTTGAACACTTAGCTATCAATTGCCCCTATCATGAGAGGGCAAGAGCCTTAGCAGACACCATTCGAGTTTATTCAAAGGGTCCAAATTCAAGATGCATTGTTTTCTGTGAAAAGAAGAAGGAAGCTGATGAATTGGCTGCCCATGAAAGTATGCAAGATAATTGTCACGTGTTTCATGGCGGTATTCCTCAAGATAAGCGCGAGTTCATCCTTCAGGTATATTTGCGTGTTCCTATAAATGTTATTAAACTTTATCGCTAGATATTATGCTCTTGTGTTTAATTTTATTCAGAAATTTCGTGAAGGCAAATATAAGACCCTAATGACAACCAATGTTGCTGCTAGAGGACTAGATATTCCAGATGTAGAGTTAGTTATTCAATGTGCTCCTCCAAGTTCAGTTGAAGACTATATTCATCGATCCGGTAGAACTGGTCGGGCTGGACGTAGTGGCATAAGTATTGTCTTCTATACCAATAAACAAAAGTCTTCTCTCACATTTGTCGAGCGAGGTGCGGGTATCACATTCAAGCGTATTTCGGCTCCATCTGCGAACGAGATTGTCGATGTCTGTGCTGAGGAGTTGTCTCAGTTAGTGCTTAACTTTATTTTACATTTTCATGCGTTTTGAGCAAACTACTAACTAGAATGACCATGCAAATTTTAGGACTTTTGCAGAGATTCCCGAAACGATTTGGTCGGCCTTTTTGCCCGCAGCTCGACGCTTAGTTCAGTCTCTTCATACTTCTGTAAATACAGAGGATCTAGAGTCCACCAAAAAGTTGAAAAAATCAAAGAAGTCCAAGAGAAAACCAGAGGCCGAGGAACAGCAAAATAATGGCCATGTTGAGATACCCACTTGTATCTATGAAAAGGTTCTTTGTTGTGCTCTGGCTAAAATCTCCGGTAAATTAAAGGCAATTGAAAGCAGATCGGCTCTCACGGCGTACCCGGGAATGACCGCTTATCGACTAGATATTCCAGAGAACATGACTGCCCACAAAAAGGGTCTTTGTTACTCCCTTCTCAGTAATCAGCTGGATCCAGAAACCACTGAAAGTATTCGCAATTTGTCCTTCATCAAGGGGCGAAAGGTGAGCTTGGACTACTAAGTTGCTAATAAGTAGAATACTGTTAGATTTTTAAATTGGAATTTTGTTTTTACAGGGTTATGTATTTGACGTGCCAGACGATAAGGTCGAGATTATCGATTCCACCTGGGAGAACGGTAGTCGAGGAATAATGCTTTCAAAGCTCACTGAAATACCAGAACTGGAACCAGAGGCTGATGAAATGAATGGAAGTAGAAATGGAAACTTTCGGTTTGGTAATGGTAATGGTTTCCGTGGTGGTTTTAGAGGTCGTGGCTCCAACGGCGGAGCTGGTCGCTTCAATGGTGGCGGATTTGGTCGTGGTGGTAATTTCCGAGGTGGTCAAGGAGGTTTTGGCCGTGGAGGAGGAGGCCGCGGAATGAAACGACGTATGGATTTTGATTCGGATTCACGTGGTCCAGCTAAACAAGCGAGATATGAATAAATTTATCAGATTTGTAAAGTGTGTATATGGATCTGTAAATACAATTTTGACTTTTTTCTGGACATCAGGGTTGTTTAAAATATATACATTATGGCTTCGAATTTCTTGTTCATGTTGTGTTTGAAAGTCGTATTGGTGGCTAACGAATAACAAGCCACAAGCATGCACTAATAAATCTTAGAAACATGACCTTTGGATATAGTTGATCTTATACCGTTTTGGCCGTTACTGTTTTCCCGTAAAAATTTTATGCGGCTGTACTAGAATAGATTTCCCAGGAAAGCAACTATGGTACCTTTTTACCTGACCCAAATGCAAATAGGAGCTTCTTTATAATTTTAGAAACTGCTTGAGTTCGTCGATGCCATACTGATCATTACAACGCCAGAGGTCATAGTTGCTATTTCCATTTGCGTTCACTCAGAGATCAGAATAAGGCTTGATGATCTGGGGTTTGTTTGAATTCGAGTTTCTTTGAAGGGTTTCATTTCGTTATTTCCCAAGATAGGCGTTGGAAAACGCTTTCCTTAATGAGTTTAGGAGTTATTATTTCAAGACAAATAGACTACATTCTTGTATTAATTTATTTGTTCAAAGGGGTCTACAATCTTCAATTGCCACTCGTCGAAAACCTTGCGTATAATCAGGAACTGTGAATTGCATTATGGCCAATCGATATGGATAATTCAATGCAATAGTCGAGGTTGTTGAATGCGTACTTGTTTATAAAAGCGAGTGTAGGGCACTTCCTCTGCAAAACTGAAATGTCGACAGCATTCCCTCGGCGGAATTATGACGTTTCTTGAGAAGTTAATATGAATGGATTGGGTAGATGGGTCCTAAAAGTGGGGTTCTGGGATCTAGGATGCTTTATGAATGGGGATGGTAGAATTCTAATTTAAAACGAGAAACCTTAACTTATCCGAATATTAATGCATAGGCTTTCTTAAATCATATGTAATTGTCCAAAACTCAAAATAGGGACACCTTATCAAATCTATCCAAGGCAATGCATTCAAAAGTCAGAGGGAATGAGAACCACGTGATTAACCATCTCTCGCAGCCTTGATTTGTATTGCTGACTTTGAATTACAATTCCATAATATAATTAAAGTCCCTTAGTACGAGAGTGAGTCAAAATTTCTCAGCCAAATTCCACAATTTACTTATTTAACAAGTGATTACATTCATTTTTCTATATAGGCTACATTGTTTTCAATACACTATTGTAATCTATATTTCCTCCAGTAAATTCCCTCATGGAAGAATTTTGGAGGCTGTCTCTGACACCATGAAATTATAAGCACTTTCGCTTCATGTAAGGACTCAAATCGGGTGCCTTTATGGTGTTTTCCAGTTCTTTAAAACAGAAAAGTCTGACGGAGCTAGGTCTGAACATAAGATGGATATGGAATTGTCTCCCACTGAAATTTGCTTAAAAGGATCCTGACAACTCTAGAAGAATGTGCAGATGAAAAAAATTCGACTGTGCAGTTTCCGGGGGAGGGGGGGGGGGTTGCCTTCAACTTCATCAAACCCCTTTCATACTAGCTTGAGGTGACCGTTCTCTACCCTTCTAGAAAGTCCTTCTATAGAATCATTGCTTTTTGATTTCCAAAAAATAGTAGCTATGACATTCTTAACGCACCTTTTAGCTTTGAACTTGACAGGTCCAGATGTTCCTTTGGGATATCAATCTTTTTATTGATGCGGTATGCGATAGACTTACCTCCACGTCTATTAACCGGCAGTTGACTTCTCACTTCAAACTACCATCACCCCACTGTATGTCATATTCGATCAATTCCACAGTACTCACCTTACCCTACTCTCGACCTTTGTGTCTGTCTCTTTAACATCTTTTAAACACTCTTCTGTCCCCCCCATCTCGACTTTTTTTCTCTTTGATATTTCGTCCCCTCTATGAAGCCTGAAGTCAACTAAAGGGCTAACGATAACTATCAGTATAAAAAATAAATGCTTTAATAAAGGAAACTTATGCTTTTGACTTTCATAAAAAGTATTTCCGATTGTCGTAGCTTATATTTTCATCAGGAAAATTTACGTAAATTCATGCCTAAGGCAAAGTGATACGGTTGCTGAACAATTCTTTTATCCGACCAGACCGTCATAGCCAAAACATGGAAAGACATCGATTCCTTTTGCCAATACTTACAACCCTTATTTTAAGAAAAATGGCAAAGTACGAAGCTGGCAACTGAATGGGGATGTTTGGCGGAAACGAAAAAATACTCTTTCAATAAAAATGAGAATCACAGTTCCTTGGGTGTAATGACCAACAGGGAATTCTACTGTACCATTTCGATTATTTTAAGTCTTATAAATGACAAGGATGGCTAAAATGGCACACATGTTTATGTCATCCTTAGTGAAGGCAATGGATTCAGGGTAATCTCTTTAAAAAATATCGATTGAAAAGCAGCAGACTGAGGAATAAAAAGGATTGATTATCCTTATTCCCATGGGTCAATCCATCTACTAGGCGAATATGCAATATTAAATTATTGTTTTCCAAACAGAATCTCATTATTTGTGTAAAGATATATCAATAAATGCAAATTTGATGGGTGCTACTAACTATATAGAAATATTCGCCATTAGATTAATAAAGTACATTCTTGTTTCAACATTTCTACTCTCCACACTTTATTTTGAGTCAATGTCTTTATCAAGCAAGTTAGATTTATAATCAAAATTCTGAGTTCAAATATACCAGACCAGTTAGTCACATGTTTTAAGGTCATCTAAACAAAACTTATTAGATATTTTTCATTACTGCCATTCCTAATGGTATTGAATGTGCATAGAAGTAGCACATGTGTCTCGTAAAATATCTAAGTGTGTTAAAACAACAATGGAACAAATGGCTCTATGGAAGAGTGCTTGAAAGGATGGAACTAGTAGTGGCACATTTAATAGTAATAAACCAATTACATAATTAATTAAACTCAACAAAGCATTACCAACCTTATCTGTGGAGACAGATTTCTGGTTCCTCAATTAATTCATTGAGGTTGATGGTACTACTACTGTCTCAGATAGTGTGCAAGACCGGTGTACAAGAGCCTCATTGATGGAAGTAATTTGATTGAAGGTTTCACCATTTCGCTGTCTTATTGAAAAATCACAATTCCTAACTTATTTAGGGTTCGTTGCTTTGATACAATAAAGAGACATTATCTACAGTCGCTTAGGTAGCAAGAACCAATGTTAAAATGGTTCCCAAAAAAATAACTGCATCAATCATCTGCACTAACAAAGCAAAGACCATTAAGTATCTTAAATCAACGAAAAGAAAGTCGAAAGTGTCAAAATTGAAAATATAAAATATCGACACAACTAGACAACATGGAGAAAAATATAAACGTCACAGGGAAAGGTGCAGAGATTTAAGAAAATGCCCCAAATTTCGGCTTATTGATAAGTAATTTCACTGCTTTTCCGGATTTTATTTTGAACGTTTTTCAACGTTTATCAAGCTCTTTGAATTTCATTCCATTTCTTAAAGGAAATAAAAACACCGTAGACCACATGTGTTAAAACTTTGGGACATGAAATTTAAATTTGAAATTGGTCAACACAAACTAAAGAGAAGACGATATTCTCTTCAATAGTAAGTCATGTGGCATTAGCTAATTTGGAAAATAGATATGTATTCGCGAAGCCTTGTGAAGCACAAAATTCAAGCACGATTACGCTAAGCAATCTCATTCGCACTCAAACATTCCGGAGGGTGCGATCATGTAGAGCCCTTCTCAGCTAATCGGTTATCAATACTCACAGAGTAGGGTAAACGTATTCAATTATTAACCATGCTAACAGTGAGCATAATTTCAATGGCATACTCAAAGTAGTAAATTGGATGATAGTCTATAAATATCAAAATACCCAACTTTTCATGAATTTTCCTTAAAAATGGTAAGTTTTAAAATAATAGAAAATGATGCGGAAACAACCTTAATGCGCGGCGATTCTTTTAAATGAAGTGAAAGCGAGACTGTTACTCACATAAGCCTTCCCAATCATCGCCTAATTTCTTAATCTAAAAATTTGACTAAAATAATCCTTAAAGCATGACCTATTTGATAGTTTCTAAGACAGTTAAGATGCCGAAAGAATAGTGCGAGAAGCAAAATTCAACATTGTATTCATAATTCAATGTTACCTGTACTTATGGAGAAATGTATTATGAATATCTTCGATGGCTGACCTATATATTTTTAAATCATTTTATTAAATGGTATCTTTCATAATGGTATCAAAAATACTTGGCTATAGTTTCTGTTATGGGGTGTGAGATAGACTTACCTCCACGTGGTGCACCCTGGGCAACGTATATTAATACGACAGAAAAAGTCTATTATCTGGCAGTTGACTTCTCACTTCAAACTACCCCCACTGTATGCCATATTCAACCCATTTCACAGTACTCACCTCACCTTTGTTCTACCTATGTGTTTGTCTCTTACATCTTTGAAACTCTCTTCTGTTCTCCCCCCC